TACATATTCAGGATCTTTCTTCTGAGGTTTCAGCTTCTACCTATTTCTTTAAATGCCTTGAAAATCACAAATTTACAAAGGCTTGGTTGGATATTTTTGTCACTAACTCCATCTTACAGTTTTCAATATGACTATCATTTAACAGATACAGACACTACCACCCCAAAATTAAAAGACTTCTGAATCTGAATCATGGGTAAAGAACAGACTTTGATGCTAAAGAGGTTATGGCTTGAATTGGATCAATTAATTAAAGAAAGACCAGTGTTCTGTGCTTTTAATCTGAGCTGAACCTCATATAAAAAAACCAGGCATTTAAACATACAAAGCTTAATTAACCTGCTTTCCATCCAAATGAATGAATATGCACATAGATAATTTTTTACTTGAGATTTTGCAGGATACAGTTCGTATTCTAACATGCCTATTGATCTAACACCACCTTTAGAGAATACCTACTCTGTATTCATCTGTCAAGGGCTGACTTTTTCTCTGCATTCTTATTCCTCATTTGCTCGTTAATTAATTCAACAGATATTACTCAGAGCCTGCTATGTGCCCAAGGGCTATTCTAGGCCCTGAAGACACGGCTGGAGTTAAGACAGCCAAGGCCCTCTTCTCATGGATTTTACTTTCCACTCCAGAGGCAGGGGTAGGGGGAGGTGGGGGTGAGTAGGAGTAAGTGACAAGAAACAGAAACTATGATTTCCAACGGTGAAAACTCAGTTGAGAAACCACAGTAATATAGACTTGGAGGATCACATTAGACAGGTGATAAGCCAAGACCTCTCTGGGGAGGCAACACAAGCCCAGATAGACAAGATGGCACCAGCCATGGAAGTTGCCGAGAGAATTTCAAGTACCAAGACCCTAAAACAGGGAAGAGTTGGGAGAATCCAAAGGGCAGGAAAGGCAATGAACGTTGAACATCATGAATTGGAGAGACCTGTTTTGAGATGAGGGCTGAGAGTGAGCAGAAGGCCATTCCTGGACAAGGACTCAGGCAGCCAGCCACTTCAGGATTTTTTCTGATGCTGGAGTCAGCACAGAATCAGCTTGTGGAACAAAGGTCAGTGTTGTCTCAGATACACATATTATTGGCACCACCGTATCTCCTCTTTCATGCACCTGAACCATTCCTTCAGGGCACATCCATGGAGTCTTTACTCCCTATGAGCCTCACCTGGTCCTAGACCCTCTGCCTCACTCGCGTTTTCACTGTGTGTCTTACAGACCCATGGGCCTGCTGCCCGGCCTCTGATCTGACACTTGTTCTGACCCTCATGATTGGTCTAGGCCTGGAATATACATAACCTCCATGGACATAACCTCAGGTATAACCTGTCTGTACCACCTCCCACCTCCCTACTAACAACTCCCTACTAATCCCAAATCACCTTCACTGTTGCCTGACCTGGCCAGACACCAACACCGCTTTATCCCAATGCTACTACTTTTCTCAGTATGTGTGGTCTTTCCAACTTTCAAAACCAACACACATCTTCCTTTAACATTCTCTTGACTGTGGAAACAGTGGCTGACTTTATTTTTGGGGGGCCCCAAAATCACTGCACATGGTGACTGCAGCCATGAAATTAAAAGATGCTTACTCCTTGGAAGGAAAGTTATGACCAACCTAGACAGCATATTAAAAAGCAGACACCTTACTTTGCCAACAAAGGTCTGTCTGGTCAAAGCTATGGTTTTTCCAGTAGTCATGTATGGATGTGAGAGTTGGACTATAAAAAAAGCTTGAGCACGGAAGAACTGATGCTTTTGAACTGTGGTGTTGGAGAAGACTCTTGAGAGTCTCTTGGACTGCAAGGAGATCCAACCAGTCCATCCTAAAGGAAATCAGTCCTGGGTGTTCACTGAAAGGACTGATGCTGAAGCTGAAACTCCAATCCTTTGGCCACCTGATACAAAGAACTGACTCATTTGAAAAGACCCTGATGCTGGGAATGATTGAAGGCGGGAGGAGAAGGGGACGACAGAGGATGAGATGGCTGGATGGCATCACTGACTCAATGGATATGAGTTTGGGTAAACTCTGGGAGTTGTGATGGACAGGGAGGTCTGGTGTGCTGCAGTCCATGGGGTCGCAAAGAGTTGGACACAACTGAGTGACTGAACTGACCTGAACTAACGGTGCCAACAGTCTCTATGAAGTAGTTACATAATTGCCATCACTTAAAGATGAGAAAATCCACAGTCGAATAGTTGAGATCACTTTCCTGAAGTCAGCTCACAACAGCTCTGGCCTGAGAAGCCGGGAATCCTGTTTTCCCACCACCATCCTGCTCTGTAGGTGAGGGAGGTCTCGTCCACTCAGAGCATCTGAATCTTGACAGAATAAGTCCACAGACCGTCTGCTTATGATTTTGAATTTGAAGGCCAGGCACAAAGGAATTTAGGAGGTAAATAGAAAGGATTCCCTTCTCCCTGACTTTTTTCAAGCTTGTGGATTTGAGTTCCATTTCTTTGTTACATTATCTCCCCAGACAACATTTGCAGCACCATGTATGAACTCAACCATAGTGTGGAGATAGGTTAGTATAAATTTCTTACCAATTACAGAGAGAAAAAGAAGAAGTAACTGACTGTTTAACTAGTAACTCTGGGGGAGAATAAAACAGCATATTCAGCTAAGTTGCTCCAGGTTTTTATCTTTGGCTCTGCCTACCAGCAAAGATCATAGGTGTAGATACAAGGTATCACTTTTTGGATGTAGGATAGTATCTATAATCCTCATTTTTGAAGTTCAACTCTCTGTGATCTCATTTTCAAATATGTAATTTCAAATAACCACATTGTAAAAAATTCAATGCACTATTTGTTTTTTAAATTGGTATTTCAGATAAATCCAAACGAGAGAGTCTCTCAGAGAAAATAATGGGAAAAAAAAATCTTCCTTACCAATTCAATATTAATCAAGTCTCATAAATAACATTCTTAAAATAAATGGGAAAGTGCAAAAAGAGATTAAAAGCTCTCAGATGTCTTTCATTCTTCTAAGGCAGCTCAGTTATATTCACTGTATTCATTGTAGCTTGTGGTATGTGGTACCTTAAAATAGAATGCCTTTCATACCACTTTTTTTTAAGAATCTAAGAAACAGAATCTAGCTGTTCCCGTTCAAAATTCATGACCCTTTTCCAAGAGAACTGTTTTGACCTGTTACTACTTCTGGCTAAATCTGTGAGATTTTTTTTTTTCTCCACTCATTTCTGTACATAATATCTCAGGGAAATAGAGTTTAATAGCTATCAGCCTAATTGGGGTATACCAAAATTTGTTAAACAAAAATAATATGCAATGTGGGATAAAACACAAATTCACTGAAAAGTGAATATTATATAGAGCAAAGACAGTAAGTTTGGAAGGGTGTGTTGCCCTCACGGTACCATTTAGTGGATTGGCAGCAGGCAATTCACAACCGCAAAACTCAGTAAAATACAATACGGCTAATCTACATAAACTCAAAACTTTCCAAGGATCAGGCGGAAAATGACTTATTTTTCCTAGTTTGTTTCCAGATAGCCAGTTAATACTGCGGGGCTTCCCTGGTAGCTCAGTGGTAAAGAATCTACCTGCCAACACAGAAGACCTGGGTTTGATCCCTGGGTCAGGAAGATCCCCTGGAGAAGGGAATGGCAACCCACTCCAGTATTCTTGCCTGGAGAATCCATGGACAGAGGAGCCTGGCAGGCTATAGTCCATAGGGCTGCAAGAGAGTCAGGCACGACTAGCAACTAAATAACAACAAACATTATGTAGCCATAGCTTCAACAGAAGACCTGGTCTCTCCTCCCACCTCTCAAAGCAACTCTGAGACAGGATAGGAGCACCTGTGAGGACGTGAGCATTAATAGGGTACACTCTGAACTATATCCTAGCCCTTACTACCTTGCCTGCCAGGTGGTAGGTAGTTTCTCTTGCTGAGAGAAAACTCTGTTCTTGATGGGGAAGTTTCTGGATTGCTCAACTTTGTCCATGATTGGTGGGTGAGCTTCATTCAGGGATGAAATATTAGGAATACCACAGTGACCGTACACTTTAAAACTACAGTTTTTCTTGGCAACAAAGCTGCCTTAAAAAAAAAAAAACAAAAACCTGAATGTCTCCCAAGATATTTCCTTATATGCACCCAGATTTCTCAAGGATGAATTGACGATTCTACTATGTCACTGTCGCTATTGTCTTCTATGAAAAATGATGCTTTATATTATTTCAAAATGATAAAATATATTATACATCATGAAGACATATAGAAGTAAGTATAAACAAACATAATACCTGAAGAATAAAAGCAACCATGCATATATATTTTATGTAAAGATGTGATAGTTGATAGAGAAAAACAAGCTTAAAACTTACACTACTGTTTTCACTGAAAACCTTGAAGGTATGGGGAATAACGTATTTATCTAAAATATAAAGAAAACATGTATACCTTTGTGCAAAATAAATTACATGTATAGACTCCTCAGCTGAAATAGCATTATCATTTTATTGCGCTGTCCTGAGATGCATGTGTATGTGTGCAAAGTAATATGCAACAGAGGCTACGGCAAGACAGGGCCAAAATGAGAGCAAAAAATTCAACCTTGACAGTTCTACTTATATATTTCCCCTGATTAGACCAGCTGATTTGGCTTGACATTTTGTATGCATTCATTAAATGGTTGTAAACAAAGGCATGGTATTATAATGAATTATAATGACATTCAAGTCAGTAACTTTGGGTGTTTACAATACTGAACTATTACACACACAACATCAGAAATATTTACAGTTCAGACTAAAATCAACCAATCTCATCTCAGAAAAAGATGCTTCTGCCTTTTGCAAATGCTTACTCTAGAAAAACAGCATTCACAAACTACCCTTCAGATAATTTCAAATATGTGTCTATCTACACACACTCACATGCACCTTACATATAAAAGACGCATATCCTCTTCCCCCAGACACATCCCCCAAGGTCCCAGTCCTATTACCTGTTTTTGAGCAGTACACTGAAGGTCATCTTATCCAGTCCTAGATAATTTGGCAGCAAGTTTGACCAATTCCAGTTCCATTTTGTGATGGCTGACTGTTGATAAATGAGAAGACGCTATTGTTAGTTATTAATCAGAGTTAATATGATCAGTAAATTAAAGCCCCAGCTGTGATAGACTAACTAAGAAGGAGGGGGGTACAGAACAAGGACTTAGACAGATAACATCAATCATGTCCACAGAAGAAGGTTTTTATTCCAATAAGACAGCAATTAATTTATAAATCCATTTGGGGATGTAGTCATTATTTATAAAAATATAAATCAATTTTTCAGTCGTTATATTCTTCCAACTGCTAATGGAATTTGCCCAGCAAGTTTCTCTGAAAGTGTGACTCTTTGTATAGTAAAAGCAAAATAACTGGTAAGTTTTCCATGTATCAATTTATAGGTTTCTTTTAGCACCCGGAAGTTTGACTAAAAAAAAAATGGAAGTATTGATACTATGGCTCAAATTATAAGACACAGCTTAATTAGAGAGTGATATTAATGTTTTTGGTTAAAAAAAATGCTTTAAAGGGGAAATTAAAAGGACCTGTAAGTGTAAATAACATGATTCTTTTTTTTTTCTCATTTAATAGATAATTTCACAATAGAGTATGGAGAAAAATTACTGTGAAAGATAATCTCATAATTCAGAGCTGAATACAACATGCCATTTATTTAAATGAAGTGAGGATAATTTAACAGCTACAATCATTATTTATGGTTGGAGGAATCTAATGTACAACACAGGAAGGCAGCTAATAAACTCAAACTTATGCAATATATTTGGGGTTTAAGTATTATGGATGCTCATTCCTCTTAAAACTAAATAGTTTTGATAATACAAGTCCAGGCTAGTATTTAAAATCCAACAAGAACTATGCCCTGTCACCTGCTGATTAATGGAGCACTACAATCCTGTCATAGAGCAGGAGAATTCTGCCCCGGGTTGTCAGCATTTGAAGGTCTTATTCTACTCCAGTATTGATGAATGTAGATGGGGGCTGTAACAGGCACGGTAAAAATATTATCTGCATCCCGAATTAGGCCATTGTTTTAATTCTTATTTTCGTCAGAGCTCTAGGTCAAGCAATCCTTCTCTTCCGCCCTGTTAGTTCCAATAGTCTGTCAGGAGGTTACCGGGAAAAAGACACCAGGAGAATGAACAAAGCGAAAACAACTTTAGGTTTCAAGTACTTTGGCATGAAGATGATCTTTTGAATGTAACTATGAAATATGCAGTTTAAACGATAGCATACTCTGACATTAAAAAACATGTGGTGTTTATCACATGGACTTTATTCCACGTATCCTGATTTTAAGATCATCAATAAATTCATTTTAAATTCGGGAATGTGTTTAGGGTTATAAAACAGCTAACTGACCTCATGCCACTTAAAACAGGAGCTCAGGGCTCTGTTTACAATCACTTTTAAAGTATCTTTTAATTTATCTGATAAATGAGATAACTTTATAAAGACTGCAAGGTATTTTGTGAGTTGGGTATCTCGAGGGAGGGTGGAAGCGGCTATGGAGAGGAAGATTTTAAGGAAAGCTGGATTTCTCAAGCCTCTCGTAGACACAGTTGAACAGATGTTCCCTCCTCTGACCACAGTGAACTGACCGGGTCAAAAGTCAAATTTTACAGATCAAACAGATGAATCAGTTTGACAAATAGAAAAGAAGGCAAAATAACTTTTCCAAAGTCAATTTGCACAGACCATGCAAACAAGAACAAGGCCTTTTGCATGCTAATCAAAAAAGATTTTGAGTAAATATTCAAACATATAGCACTTTTTTTTTCTTACCTGTGTAAAAAAAAAAAAAGAGCACAAAGTTTTAATGAAATTTACTATTTAATTTCCACATACCTGATCAAGCATGTTTTTACTGAACACTTTGTACACATGCAAAGGGTTAAAGGCAGAGGGTTGATCTTCCACACTCCTCAAGGTCGTCTTTAAAGGGTGGATGGGTAATGGCTTTTCCTCTGAACCATTCATAGAAAACAGCTGTTCTTTTAAATATCCCTTGAAGGGGGAAGAAAAAAAGAAACATTACAAGCTGCGATGGTAGGAAGCACATATTCTCTTTAAAAATAAACTGGTCAATATCCAAATCTATGCTTTCAGCACACTTGCTAGATTAGAGTATTACTTTCCTCGAGACAGAATACATTTTCAGAAGAAACATAGCAGAGTACATACCAATCAGGATTGCAACAAACCCATCAAAAACAGGTTCACTTAATACATAGGAAAGATCAGAAAACTGTTTAATAAATTCTCACATAATGAATGTATACTTGATTGTACCAGAACCTTTTTAATAGGCATTGTCTTGTCATTATTTCACATGCTAACGTGTCTGGGTTACCAAAACTTAACTCAGGAGCTTGACTATTCACAGTACAAGATTGCTCATCCATTCATCAAGCACAGTTCTAAGTACTCTGATAGTTCACTGCAAGCAGTCTCCCTCTGTGTAGAATGAATTATAATGCAAGCTCCTCAACTCTCATTTCATACTGTGGACTGAAAATTATCAAGGTTCAATAGAAGCTCCAAATACGTTTATTTTATTCCCCAGCAACAGCTTGGGCCAAAAAAAAAAAAAAAAAAAAAAGTCAGTCTACTGCATTATACTTTATTTTCCATCCACAAATAAAAAGATGAATAACCCTAATCTGTATTATAAGACTCCTCCTGGAAAATGATAAATTTAAAGGGCTAAAAGTTTCCCACCAACTACCAAATACTTACTGTTAATAAATAAGTCATTTAATAAATCATATTACAGAAATGTCCTTGTGATTTTTAGAGTGTCACGATATAAGGTTTTCTTCAAGCTTAGGGTTAGGACTTAGGTTCAGAGAGTCAGAAGTGAAAACAACTTCAGAGGTCATCTTGAAAACCGTCGCTACTCAAAGTCTGGAGTGTGGGTCAGTCAAATAAACCCTATCTAGGAGCCTGTTAGAAAAGCAGAATCTCGGGCTCCACCATGTCAGAATCGGCCTGTTCACAAGCCTCCCTCATCTGTGCTCGTGACCAGGATCTTCAACAACCATTTGGACTTTTATGCTCCGACACCTTACCTTTACCTCAAAGACAAACACTTAAAAACTCACCTCCTCTCAAAACTTCCCTGTCTCTCAACGGCACCCCTCTGCTGGGTTAAGCCTCTGACCTTGCCTGCTTCTGGTTGCTTTTAGCAAAAATGTGAAGAGTTGGTGTCTTGTTACTTACTTGAAACAAGTGTGGTAATTTAGGTTTTTAATTTGACCATACTTAATTTGGATTCAGGGGCTTCCCTGAGAGCTCAGCTTCCACTCACCCAGGCCTGTACCTATAAATGTTCTGTATTTACACTGCTTCCGAATACTATTTAGTAGCATCCCCGAAAGTGCTAAAGATGTGATGCCACTAATCAAATGCACAAACCTCACGGTGCAATTTACCTACAATATAACAATGCTTCACATAAAAGCAGCCCTAAGTGTTATGCTAGGCACTCAGTCCGGAGAAGGCAACGGCACACCACTCCAGTACTCTTGCCTGGAAAATCCGCAAGGACAGAAGAGCCTGGTGGGCTGCAGTCCATGGGGTCGCGGAAGAGTCGGACACGACTGAGCGACTTCACTTTCACTTTTCACTTTCATGCATTGGAGAAGGAAATGGCAACCCACTCCAGTGTTCTTGCCTGGACAATCCCAGGGACGGGGAGCCTGGTGGGCTGCCGTCCACGGGGTCGCACAGAGTCGGACACGACTGAAGCGACTTAGCAGCAGCAGTCACTCAGTCACCTTGTGTTATTTGCATTTCCTGCCTGCATTGTTTAAGCAGTCAAGGCAGAGGCCTCCCTACTTTGACTCTATCCTCAACTCACACTATGCCTATTACCTCTCAGCCCTGCATCTCACTCAGCAAAATAAACCATCAAATACCGAGCCTGCTTTCCCAGCTGATAGACCTTGCCATAACGCTTCAGTTGTGTCCAACTCTGTGCAACCCTATGAACTGCAGCCTGCCAGGCTCCTCTGTCCATGGGATTCTCCAGGCAAGAGTACTAGAGTGGGTTGTCATGCCCTCCTCTAAGGGATCTTCCGGACCCAGGGATCGAACCCTGGTCTCCTGCATTAGCAGGCAGATTCTTTACCACTGAGTCAGTGGGGAAGCCCCAACAGTAACTATATCCAGCTGGAAAGAAAGAAAAACCTTAACTTGGAATTTAATTGATTAAAATGTGGTGATGCCCCCCGCAGAGAGTCTTAGGTACGTCAGATCTCATAGCCTATCTGCTCAGAAGCACTTCCTTAGACTTCCACATGGAGAAAAAGGCCTTTTGATTTCCTGAATACAACAGGTGGCTGATGGCCAATGAATACCTAACTTAATTTTTGTTCATTTTGCTTACAGGTGATATCCTAATCTTTTGTATCTTATTGGAACTTTGAAAAACAGACCTATCCTATCAGGGTGGCATTTAAACCCGCCATCGTGGTGTTCAGAACTATGGTTAACTCAACTTTAGGAAGGCTCTGAGGGTACTCTGACTAAGACATCTGTTCCTCTGTTCCTCTGTTACCGCAGTGACTTTGGCCAAACTAGGTGACCAGCGAAGACCATGAAGTCATGCCCATGAAGACATGACTCCACAAGGGAGGTCTTTCGATTTGCCAGACGTCCTGCTTTCCCCAAATGGAAACCTCAGACAAGCTGTCGGAGATCCTCAGTGAGAGTGAACAGGTGGTGTTTCTGTGTTAACAATCCTTCCTCAGCTCCAGCTCCTCCAGAAGCAGGACCCTTTCTCACAGCTACAAAGGCCTCCTTCTCGGGTGATCATTAATACCTTGTTACGTCACCTGTTTGAGGTGGATTACCTCTCTGAAGGCCAGAAAACAAGATTTACTTGAGGTAACTTTCAAATAGATCACAGTAAGGAGAACATTTATGTAACTGAGTCATAAAATGCTGTGGTAGAGTTTAATTCACTCCTTGGAAATGTATGTTTTATTTAAGGCCTACCCTCAGTGAGATAAAACGCTATATCTTAACATTATTCATATTACACAATTTTTATTATGCCAAAAATGCATTCAGTGTTTGCAGACATAAACATAATTCTAATTCACATTAGATGTCACATTTGAATCCAGATTGCCCTTGGGCTTAGTCACTCAGTCATGTCTGACTCTTTCTGACCCCATGGACTGTAGCCCGCCAGGCTCCACTGTCCAAATACTGGAGTGGGTCTCCAAACCCTCCTCCAGGGCATCTTCCCAACCCAGGGATCGAACCCAGGTCTCCCGCATTGCAAGGCGGATTCTTTACCATATGAGCCACCAGGAAAGCCCATGAATACTGGAGTGGGTGGCCTATCCCTTCTCCAGGGATCTTCCCGACCCAGGAATCGAATTGGGGTCTTCTGCATTGCAGGTGGATTCTTTACCAGCTGAGCTCTCAGGGAAGCCCCTGAACCCAGCATATGTATTGTCAAATTAAAAACCTAAGTTAGCAAACTTGTTTCAAGAAAATAACAAGACACTAACTCTTCACATTTTTGCTAAAAACAACCAAAAGCAGGCAAGGTCAGAGGCTTAACCCAGGAGAGAGGTGAATAAGCATGACATTGGTTCTAATCAGCTTCCCTGCATTAATGTATTTGCTTGGGTTAATCTAGTTGCTCCTGAATACGGTTTGATATTCTTCTGAAGTTTTTCATTATGTCTAAGAAATCTTCAGCTTCACCAACACAAACATGACGTCTGCAGAAGAGCTAAAAATCTCTCTACAGAAAATTCTTCATTTCACAAATACCAGATTTTAACATCAACTTAATGGTCACAAATACACAATTCCCAAACTACACCTCTCATCTCTACCATTCTGAACTGAGTTGAGTTTATGAGCCATGTTATTGTTAAACCATATAAATAAAACCTACACTGTTTCGGTGAAGCCTCTGCTGTACAAATGCAGAACAGCCGGGTTGAATAGATTCTATTAATAATGCAATATTGAGTTTGGTATTGACTTTAAGAAGTATTATCACCTCCTTGACTAACCCTTAGCTGCCAGCAGACGCTGCCTCAGGCCAGTACACACCTAATTGCTCGGTAAAAAGGCCGTTTCCCTACCTCATTGAGCCGCATGATGTGATAAATTTGCCTCAGGTATTCTCTGCCACCTGGTTTGTGGCAGATATCCAGGACCATCATGTTTATTTTCTGCTCAGTCAGTTCAAGAGCGATATCTCCTTCTTCTAAGGCTGTGCTTTTCTCTATTGTCATAAATGCACTAAATACAAAGAAAGCATATTAAGTATCAGTGGTGAGGAATTGTAAAGGTTGAAAATAATCAAAGTGATTGAGTGTGGAGAGTTCGACGTAAATCTCGTATGCAAAGCACCCATAAAGACTTTGCTCACATAGGTATACCTTCCCAAAACAGCAGCAGCTCCCATAAACAGTGCCTTAGAACTAAGCACCTGAAAGCATTTTAAAAAACTGAACCGTTTCTTTTAAAACATTTCTTTATTGCATTTAGACTCTGATCTATAAAACATTTTCCCATTACCGCAATTGTTGAAATTGCTATAATCGTGGGATGAAAACAAAACATTTCTTTTTAAGAATGTGTAAGAAATAATTTGTATTTTCTCTTTGAGGATAAAGAATATCTTTGATGCCAGAAATAGCTTTGGTATTCTGTCTTTTGTAGATTCCTCTTTACACCTGTCTTAGACACATTAAAGACTAATTAAAGTGTCAAAAGGGGGAGCCTATTATGCTAAATATAGGCTGGGTGCTTCCTGGAGGAATGCTTACCACTGGGTATTTTAAATTGGCCTTTTGACACTTGTTGCCTTTTAAAACTACATGCCCTCCCCTCCTGTTTCTTCCAGGTAACAGATACTTAGCAAAAGTCACTACTCTGCTTATCCTTCCAGGAAAAGGGTCTCCTGTAAGCACAGCAGGAATGTGCAAGTTATATGTGTGAAACGTTTCTTTTATAAGAATTCATTGGCTTATTGTTGATTTTAAACATTATATACATTGTAATAATGGATGACATTTATTTTTAAAATTCTCATGCTATACTAGTGCAAAATAAATCACGATATTCAACTTACATCGTATATGTTTCACACTAATTTTCTTATTACAAGTGCTATTAGAATCATGTTAGGCTTTGCAGTAAGTATTCTTAAAAAAAAACATGGTTTTCCACTGTTTCCCAGACTAAATGAAATTTTCTGTGGTGTAATCAGCTATATACTGCAGTTCATTACTGAGATTTTGCCATGATTATAAAATTAGTTCTGCTAAGAGTCAGTGCCGCTGACCTGAAGACTGAACCAAATGATACCCAGCTGCTGGGCATTAACTTTTATATTGCTTCCACATGTAGCCTCAAAAACATCCTTCTTAAAAAAAAACTTTATGATCCTCTAAGTGTTGCTAAAAAAAATGAAACCAAATTCTACTCCTAAAGATATCCATTGGGTAGAGTAAATCTTTAAACAAACAGAAAAGACTTTTGTGCAATAATAGAAGTTTGTAAATATCTTTTTTGAAACTGCATACAGGCTGCAAGCAAAATTTCTTGTCGGGTTTTGCTGAGGCTGACATTGAAAACGTTGAGGCCCTCTGACAAAGGAGTGTCTCGGTGTCAGCCCCTGAATTGTATCCTTTCCTGTCCATCACTGTGCAGGTGAAGCAAATGATTGGATTCAGTCAATGCTATGATTAATGAGTTCCTCTCTGGATTTGGGACTGCCTATCAATCATGTCATTAGGGAGAATGTGCCCTGAAAGAGGCAGACCTTAGCCAAGGAATAACTGCATTAATCTTAATCTGTATATGCACCCAGCCAGCCAAGTCAGGGTCACCATGATGAAAAACAATAATCTTCAACTCGACAAATTACTTTGCAAAGACAGACATTTCTTTACTTTTTTTGGCCTGTGTGTTCTCCAGAATCTAAGTTGACTGTTTACAGCTTGAGTGTTACTACAAAGTGAAGGTTATTTTAATGAATAGTAATGCTTTCAGGCGGCATGCAAGACAAGCACTGCTTACAGCTGCCGCCTTTCCGCTGCAGTTACGCTCACAATTTCCATAAAATCAAAGTGAAATCTGGGTGCAAGTGAAAGAAATCTGGCTCAATGATACCGTGTGGATCCCAGATAATCTTCATGAGGAATTAAGATTTCAGGTATCGCAACAGAAGAACTATTTTAGTTTAAGTGCTTATATTCTCATGTGAAAAAGTGGTGAAGGTGTTTAGTCACTCAGTCCTGCCCAACTCTGCAACACCATGGACGGTAGCCCACCAGGCTCCTCTGTCCGTGGAGTTCTCCAGGCAAGGATACTGGCGTGGGTAGCCATTCCCTTCTTCAGAGGATCTTCTCGACCCAGGGATCAAACCCAGGTCTCCCACATTGTGGGCAGATTCTTTACCATCTGAGCTACCAGGGAAGCCCTACGAATACTGGAGTAGGTTGCCATTCTCTTCTCCAGAGGATCTTCCCAACCCGAGGATTGAACCCAGATCTCCCACATTTCAGGCAGATTTTTTACCATCTGAGCCACCATTTTCAAAACATATTACGATAAGGTCAAGGCAACCCTCCACCTGTATACAGACATTATGGTTTAAAATACATTTTCCTCATGGTATAGATCTATGAACTAGATGATCATCTATCTGTCAGAAATGAATAGAGATGAAGTTCATGTGTCTATCAGAAAATCAACTTAAAGTCAAAGTTGGGATAAAGCATTTCTATAGCACCCAAATCCATAAGAGATTACCTCAAGTGTGTTAATAAGTCAAATTTAATTCTTTTTCAAATAAATAACTTTAAATCTGAATTTTTTATATTGAAATTATTTGAGAAATTGAGAAAGGCATAGCACTGTGCTAATTAAAAGTTACATAAAATGCATCCAGAATTTTTGAGGGATGTAAAACATTTTTAAAAAGTCAATAATTCTTTATTTTTGATGCAAGTTACAACATAAAACTCATCAGCGAAATATTGGCTAGACAATTCCCTACTATAGAAAATATCAGATGTTTTGGTGCTGTTTATAATATATATAACACTTAGACTAAAATCAACTTTTAAGGGAAAATTTCACTTATGGATTTCTGTATGTTGCCCAAGGTATATTAGAGACATTACTTTCCACTGATCTTACTGATAGTCTCTTAATTCAGCAGTATCATAAATTTAACTTTATAATCAGATCCACTACTTTTACTCTGCTTTTCTTCTCTCGCTTCTACACCCACTGCCATGGATAATGACACGTGGCCTTAATCTTTTAGTCTTTGCATTTAAGCCTGTAAACTGATATCCAATGCAAATGTAAAGATTAAGGTCACTGTTAATGTTACTGAGCATTTTCCTGACTGCTATTCTTAATCCTACACACAGGATGCCCCACAAGTAAATTTCTGAAAGTCAGTAAGACAAGGCCAGGAAAATGATTACTTACATTTCTTACATTATTTACACTGCTTACATGATTACTTACAGTGATTTCGATTAATATGAAGTCTCACAGATTAACATAAACTAGTAAAGAGCATTTGTCATCACACTACTAAACAGTGCAGCTTATTCTAATAGTTTATAAATAACAAATGCTTACTAGTTCTAAGCTTGATGTTAAGAACTTTATGACTGTTTTTTAACCTTTCAAAACAACTCTACCAGCTTAGTACGTGAACGCTCAGTCGCCCAGTAGCGTCCGACTCTTTGCAACCCCATGGACTGTCGCCCTCTAGGCTCCTCTGTCCATAGGATTCTCCTGGCAGGAATACTGGAGTGGGTTGCCATTTCCTGCTGCAGGGGATCTTCCCAACCTAGGGATCCAACCTGCACAACTCCATAACTCACAAAAGATGGCCCACTTACAAAGGATTTGTATTTGTCCATCTAATTCCAAAGCCTGAACTCTTTATCACTGCCATGCACTAAAACTAACAACCTTTAGTTGTTCCAGGCAGAAAGTTATAACAGTACTTTCTAGCAATGTGACTATATTTCAAAAGAATGGGGGACAGTGTCTGTGAGTGGTATTAAAAAAAAAGTGAGGGGGTCAGGCTTAGTGATCTGTAGACCATACGAACCATAACTCCTTTACCAATATCAGGCAGTTCTATACTGAAGACTAATTGTAAGATAGGAGGACTCTATGTACACATTTAAATTCATCAGGGACCCTTAAAAATCTTTGCAATACCACAAATCACTTAGCTCTCAGTGACAAACCGGGGAGAAGGCTGACATTTTCATACAGAAACAGCTGGGTGTGTTTATAGCTTGAGTGTGATATGCCCCGGTTGCCCTCTGGGATTCTTACATTACCAGATGAAAAATGTGTACCTTTTTGACAATCAGGTACACAGAAAGCAATAAAGAGCCTTTTATGCCCATTAATTCCTTCTTAATTTAATCTCCATGGACAATCCATTTACGAAAAGCTCCAGGCTATCCACGAGATACCTGTTTGCACATTGAAAGGGAGTGAAACCAAATTCTCCTGGGTTTAACCACCACCCTTTTAATCAGAAACCTTGAGATGGGGACTAAACATGTATAGTGTTGCTGTGTATCAATGGGGTTCAAATTTTAATAAGACAAGGAACATTTAACCATCCAGGGTTTGATGGAATATTTATCTTTGCCTGTATTCATCAAAGTTCCCATGAAGTTAGCAAGATGGCCATGGCTGCTTATCTGACAATGTTTTGAGGTGGTGGTTGTTTATGGGTGATTTTTTTTTTTTTTGAACATGTCTGATGAAATTCGGGGAAAGAAAAACATAACTTTACCATTCGGTGCTCAGTTTCCTTGCTTCCAACAACTGGCATTCAATCCAGTTGGGTTTCTGCTGCTCGATGCTCCGTATAACCTTTTGGGTCATTTGATTAAGGCTACCCGTCTGCTCTCCCATGATGCTTTCCAAACACACACAGACTAAACCGAGTTTCTCTTTACTCTGTCTGTCAAGGGAGGCACCTGTTAAAAGTTCCACAGTGTTTCCATCCTCAAATATCCGACATATAATTACAATCAAGTTCCAGACAAGCAGGCCAGCTTTCTTCAATTCAACCAAGTTTTCTGACATTTTTCTTTCAGACAGAAAAAAGAAGTATTTAATTGGGGGAGGCAAACATGCAATCACCGTAGGTAACTTGCTGATTACAATAGATACTGCCTGAGCAGCAAGCCTTGTGAAGCCTGGGGGAGAAAAGAAAGGAAAGGTATGATTAATATTAGCATTTGCGTTCCATCACTGTGTTGTGTTGAGTGTTGTGTGGGGATGTCTAGTTTTTGTAGAGAAAATTGTTGAGGAGAGCAAGTGCCTGACATTTTCTGACAGAACTCTATTGGGGTCCTCTGCAGTCCTGCCCAAAATTCCCCAAGTCCCCAACTTAATTTTTCCTCCCAGAAATGATTAGAAAATTCAGAATTATGACTTATACTTTCATCTACTATGATTGTAGGGTTAAAGGGCCCAAGGTCCTCCTAATTAATAAATGCAAAGATACCCATGATGCACCTCTTTGTGGCCTTTGGCACTTCCTTAAGCCTTTCTATTCCTCTCCTGGCATCCATGACAGAATCATTCCAGCTCTTGCTGGGACTGGCTCTTCTTTTAGTTTTCAGCTCAAACGTCATTTCCTCTGAGAGCCTCCCCTACGATCTGTGTAAGACAGTCCCTTCATGCCCATCCTGTTCCAGCCCCCAGTCCCTCCCTATCATTAGACCCCATTCTATTACCTTTATTACAGCATTTAGCATCACTTTATTTTTTCATTATCTGTTTCCGTCCACCAGAATATAAGCTCCAGGAAGGCATTAGGACCTCACCTCTAACAGATGTTGGGTAAATACGTGTTGAATAAATCAGCCAGCAAACTGGCTCACGTGTATCTACTACTCTACTTCTTTGTGGTCCACGCTAGTTCCACTTCTACTAACACCTCTTACCCGTATTTGCTAAGTCCTTGGCCTATTGACTGAAGATTCTATTCTCTCTCACTTAACGTCATTTCTCTGAAGGATTTACTCTTCTCCTCTCTCGAGATCAGGGTTTCTCAACTTTGGCACTACTGACATCTGGGGCTAGAGAATTTTTCGTTGCAAGGAGCCGACCTGTGCATTGGAGGATGTTTGGTGGCATCTTTGTCCTCCACTCACTAGATGCCAATGGCATTCTCGTCAATTGTGGCAAAAATGTCTCCAAAGTGTTGCCAAATTGTCCTCTATCTTTCTAGTTGAGAACCAGGATCATCTTCTGGATGATTCTAGAACCTTCAGTGTCTTGGCCTTTTAACCACTCCAGTTCCCTGATGGGCATTCCACTTCTCTGTCCTAGTCATCATTAACTCAACCCATAACCAAATTAGGTTTTAACCAAATTCATTGTTTTCCTCCCAACTTGCCTTGGCCCTCTTGACCCTCCCATCCTGATTTTCTTCCTTGCTTTTAAATTGTTTAAATATTCGTCCTAATCCTTCACACAAAGCTAGGGACTACACTGATCAATATTCCTACTCCATCATCTCTGATATGCAGTTCTGTCTCACTGTGACCAGGGCTACTACCTATTCAAGCCCGCTCTCACAAGTGGTATCTGGACTATCGTGGGAGTCTCCTAACCCACCTCTCTGCCCCAGACAATGCCCAGCTGTAAAGCCAGATGCATATACTAGTACCTAACTTTGTTAACTTCATTACCTAATTTCTCTGCTACAATTCTTTAGCTTTCCACTGTTATGAGATCAGTTTCTGGAGCATTGCTGTCAAAACACTCTACAGTCTAGCCGTAGGCAGTTTCGGTGAACCTCATCTTTGTTTCATCCTCTTTGCTCTTAGGCTTCTGAATATCTCATTATTCTCACATGGAATGCCCTCGTTCTTCAGAGCTCACTCATAACCTTCAACTTTTGGTTCAAAGTTCTTTCCTCCTATGAATTTATTTGGACACATTACCCATATGACTGCGCTGTAATTAGGTTCATAAAATGCCATGTTGTATTATCTTTTGCATTATCATCTATCATTGTTTGTTATACTCTTATTTATATATTCATGAGTTGTCTTTACAACCAGACTAAAAGCTCCCCAAGAGCATGGAATAAAATCTCACTCCTTGAGTATCTCACAAAGCCAGATACAGCATTTTACTCCACTATGTACATAGTTAAATTTGAACACTGGAACAGAATGAAAGTCTAAAGAAGGCAGCTGTATGTTCTTCAGAAAAATAGTTTTCACTGAACAAAAATAACAAAACACTGTGAAAGATTTCTCAAGATATTTGTGACATTTTAAGAAGTCACCCTGTGGATTTTGGAGACCATCATAACAAACAACCCCATCAAAAAATGGGCCCAAGACCTAAACAGACATTTCCCCAAAGAAGACATGTTAGTTCGTGTTAGTTGCTCAGTCGTGTCCAACACTTTGCAACCCCATGGACAGTAGCCCACCAGGCTCCTTGATTCACGGGATTCTCCAGGCAAGAATACTGGAGTGGGTTGCTATTTCCTTCTCCAGGGGATCTTCCCAACCCAGGGATCAAACCCAGATCTCCTGTATTGCAGGCAGATTCTTAACTGTCTGAGCTATCAGGGAAACACTCAAAGAAGACATACAGATGCTCAAGAGGCACATGAAAAGATGTTCAACATCACAAATTATCATATGAATGCAAATCAAAACTACAATGAGGTATCATCTCACACCAGTCAAAACGGCTATCATCAAAACATTCACGAACAATAAATGTTGGAGACTGAGTGGAGAGAAGGGAACCCTCCTACACTGCTAGTGAGACTGTAAACTGACACAGAGACGATGGAGAACAGTGTGGAGGTCTCTTTAAAAACTAAAAACTGAGCTACCATGTGACCCTGGGCATATATCCAGAGGGAAAAAAGGTCCAAAAGGATACACGCACCCCAGTGTTCACGGCAGCACTGTTCACAAGAGCCAAGACAAGGAAGCAACCTAAATGTTCACCACTAGAGGAACGGAAAAAAAAAGAGATGATACACACACACACACACATACATATAGCAAAATATTAGTCATTTAAAATAATGAAATAATGCCAGTACACACTGCTATATTTAAAATGGATCTATGTACAGCACAGGACCTACTGTACACACAGGCAATTCTTCTCAAAGCTATGTGGCAGACTGGATGGAAGGAGAGTTTGGAGAAGGGATACATGTATGTGGATGGCTGAGTCCCTTTGCTGTCCACTTGAAACTATCACAACATTATTACTTGGCTATACTCCAATACAAAATAAAAAGTTGAAAAAAAAAAAGTTACCCTGCCCTTAAAAAGTACAAAGCTCTTGGAAAACATAGGTCTGGTCTAGTGATTCCTCAGAAATTCACGACAACTTAAGAATGATTTTCAGAATTAACTGGAGCAGTGTTTTTATGTTTGTAAAAATTGTATTGGGTCCAACATATATTTGAATGATCTCAGAAGACTTTTGTAATTAAATAAATGAATAAATAAAGAAGTGTATAGTTCAGTACTTTGTAAAAAAATAGTTCCTCAATAAATGTCTTCTTTTTATTCAAATAAATATGTTTAGATGAAGCTTGAAATATAGATAAAGCAAATTAAGAAACCACTCTTATCAGTGTTCTTAAATTATCTTAAACATTTTAATGTTCTTTATGTGTTTGCATCTCATATTCCCCAATCTGCTGCGAAGTATTTGACTTAAAAGATTATCTCTTATATTCTGTTTATCCTAAAGAAGGCTTATCTGCACATCCTGAGTAAACATTTGACAAGATAAGTAGATATCAGGTAAAGATTAACAATTCTCTTCACACCTGTATTGCTACTAATATTTACAAAATCTGAGAAGGGCACGTACTCAAATTTCCAAATACTTTATCAAAACTTAGGCAAATTCTAGTCAGAACCTTTAGACTGATGACAAATCCATTCTACTGATCACAGGGTCAGGGCTTCCCTCGTAGTTCAGACAGTAAATAACCTGCCTGCAATACAGGAGACCTGGGTTCGACCCCTGGCTTGGGAAGATCCCTTAAAGGAGGACATGGCAACCCACTCCAGTATTCTTGCCAGGAGAATCCCATGGACAGAGGAGCCTGGCGGGCTGCAGTCCACGGGGCCACAAAGAGTCGGACACGACTGAGCGACTAAGCACAAGCACAATCACAGGATCTCTGCGTCTACGACGATGCTGGCAACTCACCAGTATGGGTCTTCTACAAATGCCACACATTCATTTTTCTGTCTTTATTTAAATAAGCTGACTTCCTTTATGTGTAATATATTGTAAGAGCCATCCCAATTTGATAAAGTGAGAAAAAATGTATGTCCTAGAATGGATGCAATGTTCAGTTCAGTTCAGTTGTTCAGTTGTATCCCACTCCCTGTGACCTCATAGACTGCAGCTTGCCAGGCTTCCCTGTCCATCACCAACTCCCCAGCTAGCTCAAACTCATTTCCATCAAGTCGGTGATGACATCCAACCATCTCATTCTCTGTCGTCCCCTTCTCCTCCTGCCTTCAATCTTTCCCAGAATCAGGGTCTTTTCTAGTGAGTCCGTTCTTTGCATCAGGTGGCCAAAGTATTGGAATTTCAGCTTCAGCACCAGTCCTTCCAAAGAATATTCAGGGCTGATTTCCTTTAGGATTGACTGGTTGGATCTCCTTGGTTTCCAAGGGACTCTCAAAAGTCTTCTCCTCCACCACAGTTCAAAAGCATCAATTCTTTGGTGCTCAGCTTTTTTTATAGTCCAACTCTCACATCCATACATGACTACTGGAAAAACCATAGCTTTGATTATGACATTGAATGCGATGTGAGAGGTACATTTATATACTTATCATGTTTTCCTTCTTATGCATAGACTACTGATTGTAAAAATATATTTTGGAGATTATAAAACATGCAAAAAATGAAATTTACAATGAAAAAGGTAAAGACAAATAATGTCTTAAAATTAACTTTTAAAATATTGTCTATTAATGGTATCAAATATCAATAATACATTATTGAGTGAGGATAATGTGATTTTATATGCTTCATTCTTTTAAAAATCTGGGCTTTAATAGTTTGTAACACATTGATTCCAATGTCAGGTTACTTAGTTTGTTCAATACTCAATTTTAATGACTGTCATAGGTGACAAAGTCACTACATGAATATACGTAGATCCACATGCAACCTGTGAAATCATGGCACTAGTTTTTCAATCTTAACCACCAAAAAGACAAATGTTGCCGTTGAAATCGGACTAATGAATATTCACCACCATTATGTTAATTAATTGTTCTCGCAACAAACTGAAAATATTTCATTTTTGTATTTTTAAAAAATTTTTTGGCTGTGCTGGGTCTTTGTTGCAGTGTGGACTTTTCTGTGTTCTCGGTAATCGGGGGCCACTCCCCAGTGGCAGCGCGCGGGCCCCTCGCTGCCGCGGCTTTTCTTGTTGCAGTGCACTGGGCTCCAAGGCGTGCAGGCTGCAGCAGCCGCAGCCCGTGGGCTCAGCAGTTGTGGCTCCCGGGCTCTGGAGCGCAGGCTCAATACCGTGGCACTCGAGCTTTGTTGCTTCGCTGCGCGCAGGAATCTTCCCGCATCAGGGATGGAACCCGTGTCTTCTGATTGGCAGGCGGCTCTCCACCGGAGCAATCAGGGATGCCCTCATTTTTGTACTTTAAAGGAAAGTATTCAAAAATAACTGAAACACTTATTTGGAACATTTTTTAATCATGCTAGAAAATTCTGTGCAGCGATGACATTTTTATAGGTGATATTCGCTCTTATAAAACTAATATTTCTGGGTTTTACAAAATAAACTATCTGAATGACTTCAGATAACACTTGGCATATTTCTGCCATCACTTTCTTTCTCAACAATCCACGTGTGAATGATGCCTGGAATGCATTTTCTCTGCGGGGCTATCTCTGTTTCCTCTCCAGAATCCATTGTTTTACTTAAAAACAATTACTCCTGAGTTTTTCCATAAAGCATTCTTTCTATTTAAAAAGTAATTTAGTGGTAAGACAATACATTCTCTGGAATATCTTTCCTTTGGTCATTGTCAAAGAAATAAAACTAATTCTTTGTGTATTTGCTTTTAGGGAGAGAATTCTTTGCATATTCGCTTAGGGAGTGAACACCTAAGCTGAGCTATATGAGAAACATCTGAACTTCCATTCACTTCTTTGGTAAATCTCTTACAATGTATAATTTATTGTACTATTTATTTTTTTAAATCTTCAGTGTTTTCCACGTTCCACCATTTTCACTGTGTCAGGAAGGACAAATGTTTCCTTAAGCTAGTGACTATTCGTCTTTTAAGTTAGAATCCTCAAGAAAAAAAAAAGGCCCCCAAGCACTTCATGATTCAGATGAATTTTGCCAAGTACAGAATTAAATATCAATCAACTTAAAACATCTTCATGTTTGTATGCTTAGTTTTGAAATCTTTGGCTAATCAAGATGACTTCAAACTATATTCAGCTAATACCTCAAGGCACAATACTCATTTTGGAGGGATTCATCTTTAACAACAAAGTATGGGAAGCCACGCTTCACATGGTTTTCCCACTCCTTTTTTATTTATTTTTGGCCAAATCTGATCAGATTATCAGTGTTCTAACCTGTAATATGGCTGAGAAACAGTTTATGTTAGAAATAGTAATTTTCCTAAGTGTGAGTTTTTTTACTTTCTCATTGTTTGTTTTCCCTTGGATTCCTAGTAATAGTTTTAAACCACAGTTGATTTGTTGATTTATAAGAATATCTTAAAGACACTTGTGTGTTTTGTGAGGATTAATTTTGTGAAAACTAGATTCTGAAATACAAAGGACAACCTTAATTGATTGCTGAATGATGAAAGCTAATGAAGGAGTGAGGTTACCCTGTATATGCCCTCTCTAACAATAATGTCCCCAACACGTGACTGGCCTGCTCACAGACCCAGGGAGAATTCCAATAACAGGCTCCATATGAAATTTCAGTAGTTTTGCTTGCTGTCTTCTCACCCACCAGAGAATTAATTGTCTTGTACACCTCGGGAGGTGTTTGTACCTATTTGTAAACATTTATACTAGTCTTCAAGAATCAACAGGGGATCTCTTATTGACGGTTTATCCATGACCCAATTCCAGTAACTCATATGTAGCAGTAATTGACTTAGTGCCTATCTATTGAATGAATAAGTGACTTAATGTCTGGCATGAACATGTTATCTATCTTGTATGTTGTAGGGAAACTAAAGATTGAGTAATGTCAATTTAATAGAGGACAGAAATGAAGAACAATGGTATTCTCCTATTGTCACATCCTGAAATGCACAAAATGCTTTATAAGGTCACTTTCCTCTACCACTTTCTTTTATAATATTTATATGTGATTTGGCACTCCTTTGTGCCTCTCTAAGTGTTATACGTCTATCCTAAATGATAATTTTATGAAAAAGTATTATTTAGTAAGGAAAACCATAAGAACTAGTACCGATCAATACAAACTAAGTTTTTTGGAGCAGGGGTAGGGGTGGAAACCAGAGGCCCTTTGAAATGTTATGGAAGAGTTCCAAAATACTTGTAGAAAAAAAAAAATTGTGAATAGACCAACTTGAAAGACACAAACAAAAAACTGCCACTCATATGACATGATATATAAACTATAGATCATGCCTCCTGTATTGCTCAAAATCTATGAAATATCCCAAAGCTAGAAAGGGGAGATGGCAACAATTCTGGTGAGGAAGAACTTAAGTAACGAATATCTGACATTTTCCAATTTGAATTAAATGGCTTTACTGGATTCAAAGGCAGTTTAATAGGGTTTGGACAGAATTAAAGCATTACTATGAAAGGTCACTGATAGATAATGGATTTGAGTCTTTAATATAAAGTTGCTGGATAAGATTCACATTATTCAGGACCACTATGGAGAAGGATAAAAGAACAGCTACTTTCCTCACCTGGATTTAGATTTAGCAGGAGTATTTTACTGTTCAGCTAGAGTGCTTTACTGTTGAGAGTTTCCTTACAGTTAGTGAAAAAATATTCTTCTTTAAAGATGAAGATAAAAAGGAAAAGATGTATTTTAAAAATTCTAAAGAAGATTCATGGATACAAACAGATAAATAAGATACATCCAAAGGAACCTTGTGAAATTCTTGGAAAGTAGAGACATCTAGATAGGAAGAAGCTAAGAAGAAAGGACTTGATTAATAAATGAATAATATAGGTCATTGATAATTCTTCAGTATACTTGGTAGATGCATTGCCCTGAAGAGGAACAATGCACTGAATCCAGAACCATAGGTACTGGGGGGGAAATACACTGTCAGAAATATACATGTAGCTATTAAATGGGGTGCTATTTTTTTACTGAAAAGCTACACATGTAGGTATATTAAAGAAAGAGAAGAAAGTAATAATTGGTAGTTGTATAGGAAAAACTTCAAAAAAGAATAATTAAACTGAATATCAGAGCAATCCTCTTGAAAATATGAATTTTGGATTCCTCAATAGGTTTAAAGGAAATCAGTCAAAATTATGTGACTAATTTGAATACTGACATGAACACAAAACATCACAGAAAATTGTGAATTGGTAGTTAAAAAAAGAAGATAATCATTTGAGTCATTTTCATTTCTAGGTTGTGGGTTTTTTTTTTTTAATAATATGGCTCACAGTAATGAAAATTAGGAATCCTAGAAAGGAGAAAGGTAGAAAGGAGACTAATATAGTTTACAAATCTTGTAATTTTTAGAACGTTACATGTTCATCATATCTTAGAAAGTGTGCTTCTTTAGGGACATGTTCTTAAAGAAAAATAAATGTACCTTTGCTTGATTCTTTCCTTTTGGTGTCTCTTGGAATGTAATTCCATTCTTTTGGAATGCTGTCACGCAGACATTGAGGAATGCTGTGCCTGTTTAGGTTCGTCTCACAGTTGCTCCCAGAGCTCATCACAGATACTACCTGCCGCACGACGTCCTTGAGGGCGCGGGTCAGTGCAAGTCTCAGGCATCGGATGACCTCTACCTCGGACTCTCTGCGCGTGGAGACTTTAAAATCAGACAGTATATTACAGTTAGCAGAATCAAAAATATTTTGTGCCCTGTTCAATTAAGAATTCAGCTTCTCAGTAATCTAGTTCAAAGCTGAAGGAAAGAAGAGTTGTTTTTAGCCTAGAGATCATACGATTGATAAGTAGTCCATAAACATTTGGGGAAAAAGTTACCCCTTGGTAATCAAGGGAATAGTAGTCAGAATAAGAGTGAATAAAAGAGTATTTGCTAGTACTTTGGGGACTCTACTGGTGGATATATAACTTGTATAACCTTTTTAGATGATACATGGACAACAATTGCAAAAGTTTTGACACTTACCTGTTAACACATTTATTCCTTCTCTGGAAATTTATCCTAAGAAATTAATTATGATTATGTAAATAACAAAATAAAAGATTGGAAATAATCTAAATGTCCAACAACTAGGGATTTATTTAATTAACTTAGGGCTTCCCCAGTGGCTCAAATGGTAAAGAATCCACCTGCAATGCAGTTGACCTGGGTTTGATCCCTGGGTTGGGAAGATCTCCTGGAGGAGGGCATGGCAACCCACTCTAGTGTTCTCACCTGGAGCATCCCCATGGACAGAGGAGCCTGGCAGGCTACAGTCCATGGAGTCGCAAAGAGTCGGACATGACTGAGTGACTAAGCATAGCACATCCATCTTCACAATAAAGTCATATTGATTAGTTAAAAAAAAAAAAAAGGCAGCCTAGAAGATAGTATGATATACTATTTTTGTTAAAAAAATACATGTTTACATACACATAAAAAAGAATTAAAAGATATGCTCTATAATGTTAATGGTGACTATCAATGACTAATGGTATTTCAGGTGATTTTCCTTTTCCTTTCCTTTTTCTTCTTTGACTTTTTCTTCCCTCCTTTCCTCTTTCCTCTACTCCTTTCTTTCTAATAAGTATCACCTGCAATGATTATGTGTTACTTTTGTGATAAATACAATAAAAGTTTTTGTTTGTCTTAATGACTGGGAAGTTCAGGGATCACTATTTGAATCAATAGAGAAGAGTACCAATATGATTTTCCCCCTCAAATTTCAAGGTGATAATTCTCAAATGACAACCCATTGTAAAAACCACCATAATGCTGAAACTAAGAGCTGGACTTTTCAAAAGATAAACAAAATTGACAAACTTTTAGGCAGACTCATCAAGAAAAAAGAGAGAGGGGTCAAAACCAATAAAATCAGAAATGAAAAAGGAGAAGTTATATCTGACATCACAGAAATACAAATGATCCTAAGAGACTACAATTATATAACCATATAATGGACAATCTAGAAGAAATGGACAAATTACTAGATACGTACAATATCCCAAGACTGAACCAGGAAGAAATAAAAAATATGAACAGACCAATTACCAGCAATGATACTGAATTAGTGATTTAGAAAAACTCTCAACAAACACAAGTCCAGGACCAGACGGCTTCATAGGTGAATGCTACCAAACATTTAGAGACGAGGTAATATCTGTTCCTCTCAATCTATTCCCAAAAATTGTATAGAAGAAGGGATACTTCCAAACTCATTCTGTACACAAGGCCAGCCTCACCCTGATGCTAAAACTAGACAGAGATATCACATAAAAAAGAAAAATCGCAGTCCAATATCATTGATGGATATAGATGCAAAAATCCTCAACAAAATGTTTACAAACTGAATGTTGTTGACACTAAAAGGATCATACACAATACGAAGTTGGATTTATCTGAGGGATACAAGGGTTTTGCAATATCTGCAAATCAGGGACTTCCCTGGTGGTCCAATACTTAAGAATCCATCTTACAATGCAAGGAACACAAGTTTAACCCCTGGTCAGGGAACTAAGATCCATAAAGCCCTCACACTGCAATTACTGGGGCTGTGGACTCTGGAGGCTGTGGGCCACACCTCAAGAGCCCAGTGCCAAAAGTGCTGAGCCTGCATAGTGCACTTACAAGACCCCACATGATACAATGAAGAAAATAGTATGATGTAAAAGATCCCACGTGATGTAATGAAGAAAACAGTATGATGTAAAAGATCCCACATGATGTAATGAAGAAAACAGTCTGATGTAAAAGATCCCACGTGATGTAATGAAGAAAACAGTCTGATGTAAAAAGATCCCACGTGATGTAATGAAGAAAACAGTATGATGTAAAAGATCCCACGTGATGTAATGAAGAAAATAGTATGATGTAAAAGATCCCACGTGACGTAATGAAGAAAACAGTATGATGTAAAAGATCCCACGTGACGTAATGAAGAAAACAGTATGATGTAAAAGATCCCACGTGATGTAATGAAGAAAACAGTATGATGTAAAAGATCCCACGTGACGTAATGAAGAAAACAGTATGATGTAAAAGATCCCACGTGATGTAATGAAGAAAACAGTATGATGTAAAAGATCCCACGTGACGTAATGAAGAAAACAGTATTATGTAAAAGATCCCACGTGATGTAACGAAGAAAACAGTATGATGTAAAAGATCCCACATGATGCAATGAAGAAAACAGTATGATGTAAAAGATCCCACATGATGCAATGAAGAAAACAGTATGATGTAAAAGATCCCACGTGATGTAATGAAGATTCTGCATGCCATAGCTAGGGCCTTACTCAAATAAATTAATTAAAACAGTTTTCTTTTTCAAAGGAAAAGAATCCCAGAAAAACATGGTAGTAGGGGAGGAAAAGATGAAGTACCCTGTGAGGACAGCTGAAAATGTCCAAATATGATAAAAACTAAACATTATCAGACATAAGAAGCTCAACAATTCCTAAGCAGAATACAAAAGAAACCAAAACAAAACACACCATAATTAAATAGCTGCAAAGTAGTGATAAAGAGAACAACCTTAAAACGAACAAAACAAAGAAGACACATTTTATAGCTGGAAGCAAACACTTTAAAACCTAAACTGATTTATCATCAGAAACAAAGCAAGCCATAAAATAGAAACCTGTCTTTAAAGTACAGAGTGAAAAGAAAATGAAAGATAAAAAAAAAATCTCTGAACCCAAAAGTCTATGTCTGATGAAAAATATTTCAAATATGAAGATAAAGCCTTTTTTTCATGCAACCACATCAAATCAAATGAATTGATGGCAGAAAAATTTTAGTACATTAAAGGAAATACTTAATGAAGAAGGAAAATGATATCTGTCAGAAACTCAGATCTACGCAAGTAAAAGAACAGTACCAGAAATGATAGATAGATGGACAAGTACGAAAGACTTTTTTTCCCATTTTTAGCTTCTTTAAGCTATAACTGACTGAAACAAAAGTGAAACAATAGATTGTAGGGTTCATAACATTAGTAGAAATAAAATGCATGACGACACATGTAAAGAATAGGAAGAGTAAACAGAAATATACTTGTGTAAGATGCTTACATTATATGTAAACTGTGAAGAGTCAAAGACACTCATCACAAGATGTAAACCTTGGAACAACTACCAAAATAAATATAAAATTATATCCAATAAGCCACTAGCAAAGAAAACCTGTAATATTGAAAAATATCCAGTTAATCCAAAGAAGGTCAAAATAGATAGGAACAAAGTTGGGACAAACAGAAAATAAAGAATAATATAGTCATGTAGCTCCAAGCGCCAGAACAGAGAATCCACACTTAGACGTGGATTTGATCAATTGCTCACTTGATTTCTGACAAAAACACCAAAGTAATTCAAACTGGGAAAGAATAGTGATTTCTAAAAAAGGATGCTGGGAAAATTGTGTATGTATGTGAAAATGTATGGTGGTGGTTTAGTCGCTACGTCATGTCCGACTCTTGCGACCCCATGGACTGTAGCCTGGAAGACTTCTCTGTCCATGGGATTCTCCAAATAAGAATACTGGGGTGGGTGCCATGCCCTCCTCCAGGGGATCTTCCTGACCCAGGGATCAAACCTGCGTCTCCTGTGGCTCCAGCATTGCAGGTGATTCTTTACCACTGAGCCATCAGGGAAAAGACCTCTTTAAAACTCAGTAAGACAATCTAATTAGTAAATGAAGAAAAGTTTTAAACATATTTTACAAAAGAGTTTTTCAAAAGACTGTTAAAAACATGAAGATGTGTCTGACATCATTAATCACCATGGAATTGTAAATTAAAGTCACAATGAGATAATAGCATATACCCCTTAGAATGATTAAAAGCAAAAAGGCAATTCCAAGTGTTGGTGAGGGCACAGAGCAACCCAAACTCTCTCACGTAACTGGTGGGAAGGTAAAAGGACAAGATTACTTTGAAAAACAGTTTAGTAGTTTCTTATAAAGTTTAACTCACAGCGTGTGCTAAAGACATGTATTTCTCTTAAAAGTAAAAGGGAGTTAAGGAATAGAGCAAAGCACAAAGTAATTTATGCTTTGATATTTTCATTTGCCCAACTAAATATTGTTGATCTACTTTGACAGTACAGGCCTGCAATGATAGCTACCAAGTCTGTTTCTTACAGAGTGTATTGGCCTTTGAAATGCCCACATGAGGTACCCAACTTAATTATTTTTTTTAATAATTTTTATCTTTTGTAATCTTTTTTTAAATGGATATTTTCACTCTTGTTTTTCTTCCTAGTTATGTTCATTCTAAGGAGTTATGTATTGCATTTCTAATTATGAAACCAGTTTACATATTTCATTACTGAATTCATCTATTCATAAAGCAAATGTTTCAAAAAGTTTAGTCTAATAGAAAAAAATAAAGAGAAATAACAAGGCCTGTGATCAGAAGTTCCATTTTTCGGTTCTGATTCTATAATTTAATCAGTGAACAATCTCAGGCAAGTCTCTTAACATCTCTGGCTGTGCTTAGTCACTCAGTTATGTCCAACTCTTTTTGACCCCGTGGACTTTAGCCCGCCAGGCTCCGCTGTCCATAGGGATTTCCCAGGCAAGAATACTGGAATGAGTCGCCATGCCCCCCTCCAGGGGATCTACCTAACCCAGGGATCGAACCCAGGTCTCCTGCATTGAAGACAGGTTCTTTAGCATCTGAGCCACCAGGGAAGCCCAGGAAGACTGGGGTGGTTAGACTGTCCCTTCTCCAGGAGATCTTTCCGACCCAGGAATCAAATCAGGGTCTCCTGCATTGCAGGCAGATTCTTTACCAGCTGATCTACCAGGGAAGCCCAGCAATAAAATGAGGATACTGCCTCCTTTGTTTTCACCTTTCTACTCCAAAGTGATAAGACTGTGATGTCTTATGTCTAAGCTATACAGAAATCTTAGCGTGTTTCAAGAGGAAGAAAATAAACCGGTTTTTAAGTAATGTACTCCAGTCAATCTGGATAAGTTAATAATATTTATTGAAGCATAGGTCTATTAGTGGTAAAATGCAAATATTGTGGGATTATGATTTTGTGTCTCAGCTACATTTCCTTGAAACCTGTTATTTTTCAAGTCAAACAGAAACCACAGTAAAAGACTTAGTTTTCTTATGAATTAGTGTATCTTACTAGGGATTTTAAGATAACTGTAATTGGTAACAGAAGAATAGGAGACTTACAAAGATTTAAATAGGAGAGGAAAAAAAAAGGCACAGTCCCTCATGACCACTGCAATGTCTTAGTTCCTTTCAATTCAATAAAGTCTACATCAGAAATAATGCTCTCTTGTGGCTCAGCTGGTAAAGAATCCACCTGCAATGCAGGAGACCTGGGTTTGATCCCTGGGTTGGGAAGATCCCCTGGAGAAGAGAAAGGCTGCCCACTCCAGTATTAAGGCCTGGAGAATTCCATGGACTGTACAGTCCATGGGGTCACAAAGAGTTGGACACGACTGAGCAACTCTCACTTTCATTTTCACTTTAAACTAGAAGACTGTTTTTTGGATAAAAAGGAAACAGTGAGAGAATACATGAAAACTAGAAAATAAGACTTTAAAAGGAGATAATTTAACGTTGATGCAGAAACAACTTGCCCAAAGGCCAAGTATGTTTCATCACTTTGAAGTTCGGCCCCTTTGAACCCTGGACAAAATCTGATCTCTATGAACATCTGTACTACCTATTCCTATTCCAAGAGACTTTTCTGACCTGGGGAGGAGGGTTTGCTCAACGTGTATATGGAGAGAAGACTAATTAGTGGCAAGGAGCAGTTTTGCTTTCTCAGGCCACCACCTAAAATCCACTGATCTCTTCTAAGTCATTTTCAGTATAGTTTTGTGCTGAGTGTCAGATGGTTGAAGAACTTAAGAACTGAAAGATAAATAATGGTTTGAAGCAAGTGGGTCCCCCACTCTTTATAATCTTATGAGACAATTCAGCTCTTATCCTCACCAGGAACAACTCAAAACAGCAGGTGGTGGAGGAGCTTTCAAGGTTGTTTTTCTTTCAGTTCAATAAAGTCTACATCAGAAATAATGCTCTCTTTTAAACTAGCAGACTGACCATTTGAGGGGTAAAAAGGAAACAGTGAGGAATATATGAAAACTAAAAAATAAGACTTGAAAAGGAGATAATTATCACAGAGTCTTTAAGTGAGAGATTCGAGATTTTGAAATCATTACATAAAGCTATATATTGCTACTTTGCAGTGATAATGACTAAGAGAAGATGTAACATAATGACTTAAAAATAGTTAAAAGGATAGTCAAGTAATGTCTGGAGGATAGCTAAAAATTACAGGAAGAACCAAACCATGATTATGAGCCAGTTAGATTTTTGAATACGGATTCTAGTAAGTATTTTATGGAATTGGTGGTTCCAAAACAGTGTATAAGAAAGCATATAGGGTGAAAACCAAATGTAAATGATATATATAGTTAATGGACTGACAGGATAACCACTAAATCCTCATCCTTCATTTTCCCAAGACATTAAGTATAGAGACTTAAAGATAGAATATTAAGGATCAAACAATGTGGGAATGTTTACACCTGGTCCTGAAGGTGGGGTAAACCACAAACACTTCCTATTCAGACATGTAACTCATTCTGACTTTACCATCCACTCAAGCTGTGGGCAGGAGAACAACACAGCTTGAGAAAACATAGTACCCCCAAAACAACGATAGGACATACTTAAATGTCTAGAAAGAGCCACTAGGCTCATCACAATAAATGCCATTTACATATGAAGAAAACCGGCCAGCAGGTTTTTCCATCAGTTTGTTTAATAAAAGCATCTGAGAATCACAAAGTATTTTTTTTTACATTTTACTAATTTCTTACATGTTTAACGGCAAAACATAATCTGTATTAAATGTTAAATTTTTAATAAAAAAAGAAAATCTGCATAACATAATTTCTACATAATAACATCCCCCCTCAACTTCCCCCTCACCTTGCCCCAAGTGTGTTAAATTTTGATGGGAACTAATGCCCTGATGCTGGGAGGGATTGGAGGCAGGAGGAGAAGGGGACAACAGAGGATGAGATGGCTGGATGGCATCACCGACTCGATGGACATTAGTGTGAATAAACTCTGGGAGTTGGTGACGGACATGGAGGCCTGGCATGCTGCGATTCATGGGGTCACAAAGAGTCGGACATGACTGAGTGACTGAACTGAACTGAACTGAACTGAAGGGTTAATGATTCCCCAAAGTACCCTGTATACTGAAAAAAATGTAAGATAACCCTTTACAAATAACAGATTAGGCAAAACTGACATCAATAAACTTTAAAAAATGTCTTTAAAGATATATTTGAGCATCTATAAAACACTTCTTTTACAAATAGTAACTATCTCATACCTGGAATGTTATATAACAAGTCCCATAATTGTTCTTCTTCCATGTAACTCACAAAGACATTTCCAAATGTTTGTGGAGAGAAAGTGCAGTGGTACAATACTTGAAAGATAGCTTCTATCAAACTGGATCCTTGGTTCTGATTATTTTCTGTATTGGAACCTTGTTCTTGAAAGGTACATTCTTAAAAAGAACAAAAATGATTTAGTAAGGTAGGTATCAATGAATACGATTACATTCCTATTACTAACGCTAGCATAACAGTGTAAAAATGTGTTTGATTATTATTTACATAATAGGAGAAATGCCATATTCTTTCAGATCGAAGGTCCATTCCCCAATTGGGTCCAAACCCAGTATAATTTCTGAGAGAGTCATGGATATTTGTGTGGGGTAAAGTTGTGAGAAGGACCACATGACATCACGTCAAAGGGCAATACTAGCTTATTTTTATGTCAGAATTCTTTATCCTTTTAAATTTTTTTTCATTTATTTTTTCATTTAAAAGTAGCACACACTCATTCTAGAAACTGTAAAAAATTCAGACTAAGAAACTAAGAAAACTAAAAGTGCACCAAATCCTACCAACCAGTGATAGTTACTATATTTAGTGCAGTATTTCATTCATATTATATACAAATATGCAGTATATATATGTATATATGTGTGTGTGTGTATAACTTGAACGCCAAACAGAATTATTTTATATATTCCTTATTATTGAAAATCAACTTATAACTAGTTGAATCTTTGTATCTCTCCTTGGGATTTTTGTTCTGAACATTATATACCCTTTATTCAGAACATAAATTTCAAAGGAAATTCACAGTTATAGTGTTCTCAGTATTATGCTATCAATTCTACAAATAAATTTATAAATGTTTCTCAAACCCATAGCTTCCTGTCATTTCAGAATGAAGGGTATCTCAGCCTGTTTCTCAATAAAATCAAATAGGAATTGCAACAAAGACAGATTCATTTCATTCACCCTTTTCAGTCCTCCTCTGACTCCATGACCACTCTTCAAGGATCAGTTCCTCTACTATTGCATCTACAGGTTGGACTGAAAAGGTGAAATAATTTCTCTCTTGTTTATATAATTAGCAAGCTTGTTCTGTATCATATGTAAAAGTATTTTTGAGTTAAAGATAATAAGGACTCACAACGCTTCTCATAATTTAAATATACTGAAAAAACACAATCTAGATCATTTTGGAATGAGTACATTTATTTTCTTCCTCATTTGAAAACTCATCACTTCTATAGTTCCTCTTGATAATTTTCTGTGATTTGATTTTCATGATCTAGAGAGTCTTCCCTAGGATTTTTGCTGGAACAATTGATAAAATGGTGTCCTCTTTCATCTGGGTCTGCTAAGCTAGTAGAAAATAGGCGGGAAGTTACTAATGTCCATTTTGGGGAGAACTCCACTGAGAACCCATCACTTCATGGCAAATAGATGGGGAAACAGTGGAAATAGTGGCAGAGTTTATTTTGGGGGGCTCCAAAATCACTGCAGATGGTGACTGCAGCCATGAAATTAAAAGATGCTTACTCCTTGAAAGGAAAATTATGACCAAACTAGACAGCATATTATAAAGCAGAGATATTACTTTGCCAACAAAGGTCCATCTAGTCAAGGCTATGTCTTTTCCAGTAGTCATGTATGGATATGAGAGTTGGACTATAAAGAAAGCTGAGTGCCAAAGAATTGATGCTTTTGAACCGTGGTGTTGGAGAAGATTCTTGAGTGTCCCTTGGACAGCAGGGAGATCCAACCAGTCCATCCTAAAGGATATCAGTCCTGGGTGTTGATTGGAAGGACTGATGCTGAAGCTGAAACTCCAATACTTTGGCCAACTGATGAGAAGAGCTGACTCATTTGAAAAGACCCTGATGCTGGGAAAGATTGAAGGCAGGAGGAGAAGGGGACGACAGAGGATGAGATGGCTGGATGGCATCACCGACTCAATGGACATGAGTTTGAGTAAACTCTGGGAGTTGATGATGAACAGGGAGGCCTGGCGTGCTGCAGTCCATGGGGTCGCAAAGAGTTGGACATGACTGAGCAACTGAACTGAACTGAACCACTGAGAACCACGCCAATAAAGTAAGTAGAGCCAAGAGATGGCACAGTCCTGATAGGATGACATTGGGTGAAGCCTGGATCCAGCAATGCCTATATACTTAACGTTAGCTGAGCTGATAAATTTCCCTTTTTGGTTTAGTTCAGTTCAGTCACTCAGTTGTATCCGACTCTTTGCAAGCCCATGAACTGCAGCATGCCAGGCCTCCCTGTCTATCACCAACTCCCGGAGACCACCCAAACTCATGTCCTTTGAGTCAGTGATGCCATCCAGCCATCTCATCCTCTGTCGTCCCCTTCTCCTCCTGCCCCCAATCCCTCCCAGCATAAGGGTCTTTTCAAATGAGTCAGCTCTTCGCATCAGGTGGCCAAAGTATTGGAGTTTCAGCTTCAGCCCTTTCAATGAATATTCAGGACTGGTCTCCTTTAGGATGGACTGGTGGGATCTCCTTGCAGTCCAAGGAACTCTCAAGAGTCTTCTCCAACACCACAGTTCCAAAGCATCAATTCTTCAGTGCTCAGCTTTCTTTATAGTCCAACTCTCACATCCATACATGACCACTGGAAAAACCATACCCTTGACTAGATGGACCTTTGTTGACAAAATAATGTCTCTGCTTTTTAATATGCTACAACATTCTGCCCCAGTAAAATTCCCAAGATTTAATCAACCGAATACTCTGTCGGCACTCACTATAATAGATGCTGAGGCCTACGCCTTCCATGAATTCACTGCCTGACTCCAAGTGTATGTGTGTGGGGAGTGGGAATGACAGACAGGTAAACAGTCATTTCAGCAATGTAAAGATAAGTAGAATGAAAATACATTCTAGTTTGTCTCAGGTAGTCCTGGTTTATGTCTATGGCTTTGGGGTAATTAGTGGTAGCATCCTCTTCCACTCTCAAAAAGGTCCTGGTTTGAATAAGGAATTATTCAATCACCTGAAGTCTAAGTGCTTTAAATATAAGACACTGGAAACAGAGGATGGTGCCTTACATTGGGAAGGGAACATGGAGAAGTCACAGAGAAGATGGTGTCTCAGCAGAGTCTTTAAGGGGGAGTAGCAATTTACTGGCATGACAAGGTTGAGGTGGGGAAGGTAGTTTCCAAGAAGACTGGAGAGTTGGTGCAGTGGTGAGAAGACAGGTAGCTGCTGGCAGGGTGGCATGGCTGAAGTGTGAATGGTGGGAGGGATGGGGAGGCAAAATTGGACAATCAACACAGCCTGAAAAATCTAAGGCCCCATGATTCACGCAGTGACAATGCAGATGGAGAAAGGGAGATGGATATGAGGAATATTATAATAAAAATAATGAGTTGCATTACCATTGTTGCTATTACCATCTAAATGTGTCAAGATATGTCAATGGATATTTTTTATTTAGATTTTCCCTTGCCTTGAAGAAAGTAGTCTATTTCTGTTTACTTGACTCAGGGATTTTTGCTATTTGGAAAGCACAGACTGAAGTCAGTTTCCCTCCTAGATTTAAAAAAACAAAACAAAACAAAGAATGAAAGAAACAAAGAAAAGCTAAATTCATTGAATAATTATTAGTTTGAACTCAATGAAAAAAGCCACTTTTTATGATCCAAAGTATTGGTACGGCTGGATGATACGAAAGTGGAATCATTATGTATCTGGCAGGGGCCAGGGGTGACGGTCAGGAGAGAGGAGACCTCTCACACCGGAGAGTGATGTCTCAGGCTGCAAGGACTTCGCTGGAGGGCAGTTCACAGTGAGGCTTGTCTGGGGGAGGCAAGGAGGGACCCCGGATCCTTGACATGGGTTCTCAGTCTCATCAAAGATTTCAAACCATACCTGACTGTTGTGCTTGGCAGGAGTGCTCGGAGAGGAAATAAAAAAGCGTACCTGTGCAGTGACCAGAGTGACCAGATAATTGAAGATTGATACTGTCTCACGGGGACTTCTTTACCCCCCTGGGGTAAAGCTGGGAGCCCTAAGAAGAGCTACAGTTAAAAGTCCAACCAGCCAGGCAGTTGGGGCTCAGAATCTTCATAAAATTGAAGACAAACAGTGACTTGGATATTCCTCGTGTATCTGAGTTTATGAATTGAGATTTATACCAACTCCATAAAAGCAGAGTTACTACCTACAAGGTACACTATGCTGCACATCACATGAGCTACCTTATGTCTAATTTCATCCTCATAATACTCCTGATAAGCCTCCTGATGAAGGCGAAAGAGGGGAGGGGAAAAGCTGGCTTAAAACTCAACATTCAAAAAGCAGATCATGGCATCCGGCTCCTTCACTTCACGGCAAAAAGAAGGGGAAAAGTGGAAGCAGTGACAGATTCTCTTGGGCTCCAAAATCACTGTGGATGTGACTGCAGCCATGAAATTAAGAGACACTTGGCTCCTTGGAAGAAAAGCTAAGAAAAACCTAGACAGTGTATTAAAAAGCAGAGACATCACCTTGCCAACAAAGGTCTGTGTAGTCAAAGCTATGGCTTTTCCAGCAGTCAAGTGCAGACAGGCCTTTCCCGGTGGTTCAGACAGTAAAGAATCCGCCTGCAATGTGGGAGACCTGGGTTCAATCCCTGGGTTGGGAATATCCCCTGGAGAAGGGAATGGCTACCTACTCTAGTTTTCTTCCCTGGAGAATTCCGTGGACAGAGGAGCCTGGCGGGCTACAGTCCATGGGGTCACAAACAGTCAGACATGACTGAGCAACTTTTGCTTGTACAGATATGACAGCTGGACCAGAAAGAAGGCTGAGCAGAGAAGAATTGATGCTTTTGAATTGTGGTGTTGGAGAAGACTCTTGAGCGTCCCTTAGGCAGCAAGGAGATCAAACCAGTCAATCTTAAAGGAAATCAACCGTGAATATTTATTGGAAGGACTGATGCTGAAACTGAAGCACCACCTGATGTGAAGAGCCAATTTACTGGAAAAAGAGCCCAATGTTGGGAAAGATTGAGGGCAAGAGGAGAAGACGGCGACAGAGGATGAGATGGTTGGATGGCATCACTGCCTCAATGGGCATGAGTTTGAGCACACTCCAGGAGATAGTGAAGGACAGGGAAGCCTGTCGTGCTGCAGTCCATAGGGTCGCAAAGAGTCGGTCATGACTTG